ATATTGTAACACTGTTAGTATATGTGAATTAAAGTGAAACTGTATCAGCGTTAGGTCAACAATATATGAAGTTACTGTTGACCACAGTGTCACGAACCATTATAAATACATTATTCACCATAAATATGGTCATGCTGAAGTAACGACTCCGTGTCAGGTCAATGTCATCATGTTATTGTCAGTGTCTAACGCACATATGTGACGGCCGTTATTTCAATGCACTATGAGCAATAATAATTAACTTACTTTGACTAACAGCGCAAATACCGGAACACAATTTCGTCAACCTGATCAATATGCAGCCATTTTGAGAAGAAATCAGAAATGAACTATTTAACTTACTGGAAATAGTGCTAATATACTCCTTAGGCTTATGGAACTAAACAATATAAAAACTGTTCTGTGTGCGTGTATAAGGGACTGGTCATTTCCCCCCAACTGGGATGCCGGGAAAAACAGGGGGGGGCAAGCTATTTTGAAATAGGGGATTTTCCGTACAATTGCGAGATCTCGCGAGATGTATGAAAAACGCGCGTCGAACGTCTACCGCAAAAATCGAACGATTTGATTTTGAACTAGAATTTCTTTCAATCTGATTAAAATCTGATGTAGTGTACGGGCTTTAATTATTTTGACTATAAACTTATTTTAATTTTATTTTTTATTATATTTTTTATTAATGCCCTTTTATTTTATTATTTTACTTTGATTTTGAGATTTTTTTTTTAATTCCGCCCGGCCGATCTTCGACAGAGGAATATTGCTTCCGAATACCCTTACTTAATCAAAATTGCCTATCATCAAACTATGGACAGCACATTATTAAGCATGGAAATGTCCCTCAAAATACTTCGCGTTTGTCGAATCCCACGCGATGTTTGACGCCACTACGACGCTATGACCCTGCTATGACCTTTGTTTGTCCTGTGTTTACGTTCGATTTCACGCATATTCTCGCAGTGAACGGAAAATGGTCTAATGGAGGTGCCTTTTTACCATTGCCTGGGAGGGGGCAATCAATTTTGTCATGTGCAGAAAAAATACAGAGTTTAAACAGACACAATAATTACATTAATGATTATTGTACAGTTTTTATTGCACAAAAATATACAAGTTCATTAACTTTCTTTTAACATTTTCAAAATTCAAACTTTTATTTTTATAATATAAAATGTATTGTATTTTTAAAATGCTAATAAACAACCAATGCATGCACTCAAATAGTTTTCTTCTGTGAATAACTCAACTCATCATAATGTATAAGTTTGAATAAATAAATTTACCAGCTGTCTCATAACAGAACCATAAAAAAATTGTTTTTTTTTTAAATAACATTTTCTTGTAATATTACCATCTGTGCAATGTATATATTTTACTTTTGTCTCAACTGAATTTTCGGTTTTTACTTTTTTATTATCGTGATTTTATTCTTTATTGTAATTTTATCCATATCTCAACAATGGTTAATTCGTATTTTGTAACAGTTTCGTGTGCTTCACATGTTCATTTTGACTTAAATAGCTTTTTGGGGTTCATCAATGCCGTCCCTGGAATCTTACCGATATCGATTTAGTCGCAATTACCATTAATTCACTTAAAAAACTTTGGGTGAAATAGTAATTAGTATAAACAGTAATTAGTAAGTAATTAGTACTTACAGTATGTCACTAAAGCAGTATAACAAAAATGCATGATGCAAAGCCCATTCTATGTTTAAATGTTCATTTAATTATTTATCTAATTCAATCGAAAAAAGCTACATAATTCTGAAAAAAAAAAGATATAGTATTACATGTAGCTCAAAACTAAGAAGAGAAAATGGGATTTTCCACCCGACAATAACTACCGACTGTTAGTTATCTGAATCTATGTCTACGGGCAACAGGTCAGCAAAAATTCCCAAGTTTGTTTTTTGTTTATGTTTGTTTATTTTATTATATCATACAATATAAATACATAAAAAAATACAAAACAATTTAGATCTGTACTTATAAAACAGTATATGTTGATTTGTGTTTATTACCTACTTCAAGTTCATTTGTCAATTGCATGCTGGGAATAGTTTACCAAGTATACAGGGTGATTTATTATTAAAAATTCTAACTGTTTATTTGTTTACAATTTTTGAATATTTGAGATATCTCACAAATATTTGAAAACAAATCTTGTATTAATTTTATGTTCTATTTTCAATGGGAGTATGCTAATTCTGAACTGAGATAAAAAAAGACCGCTTACTTCTGGTTAGACCGTGTAGAAGACACTTTTCTTTTCCGTAATTGTTTTTTCGAATGATAGTAAGTCAATCTATTAGCATATAATTTGTTTAAAATGTCATGTACCACCAAGATCAATGTTCGGGTTAGTAAATTTGTCAATCATTCTTATTTCAGAGAACAGTTTTAACACATTTTGCTACAGTTCTAGGTTTGTAATGAACCAGTAAAGCACATCTGTGGTGAGTCCACTGGCAGGTAAGTCCACAATCTCTATTCCACAACCTCAAATTATTACGCCTGGTGTGTGGGTAATGTCACGAGTACGAGTGTTCAAATATCATTCTGGTCTAATATCCAGTAGCCACAGAAGCTCATCACGTGCAGTACCAAGTGCAATGCGCCCTCCAGCCATCGAGTCGAACCAGTCGGTGATGACGCAACATACAACGAGCATGACCCCCCCTTCTGTTAGCATTTCAAATTCAATTCTGTACAATGACAGGATTCAGTGTATATAATTTTGAACGAAATTTTACTTAAATTTAATATATGATTTAAAACTGTGTTTTCATAGTGCTAGTAACAAATCCTTTTACGAAGTTAGGTCATAACTTTCCAGTGGAAAGTTATTATGCTGGCAAACACCTATAGGGATGAGATCGAAAATTTGTTACGTTTCTTTCGTTAAACGTCCATTGTGTAAGGTTGGTTTTTACTTGATTGCGATATTAATTAACCATTAACAAAAAGGTTGAGATTTCCGCTGTGATTTTTGACCAGAGGCAATACAGAAGGCCATAAATAACTGTTATTCATATATTTTTTCCGTTATATACAATAGAAGGTTACATACAATAATGCATTGTAAATATGTGCAGTATTCTGCTCAGTAGAAAAAATGTGGTTTTATGATGTGACAGAAGCTGGTAAATGTAATGGGTCTATAAGTGACTTTAATTATTTCGACACTGTTTCACATCCAATGGAAACAAATTTAAAGCGGTACAAGGAGGCAGTACTTAAAAAAAGTAAAACTATATTTCTTTCAAGCTACAAAGCTTATCTATTTTCAATACACGCCCTGCTGTGGCTATAAGAATAAGTCCAACCTCATCAAATTTCGTTTACAATGTTATTTGACTTATCCATCGCAAATTTTATAACTACATACACAACATAATAATATAATTTCGAGCGTTTCATCTGACTAGTCCCGTTACGCCCTCTGACGGCCCAAGTGGATTCTTCAAGTCGAGAAAGTACAGGTACTGTGGTATTTGTTTTAGGGTGTATGGTAATAGTTTTATTGCCACCCATTATCCCGTCCCACGTTATACACATAGTTAGTTTGACCGATGTACTATAATTAGAAATAATATCCCTAGACTAAAATAAATCGTCATAAATACTAGTATACTATGATGGTCGGAAGAGTAATCAATCGATTCTACTATATACTGTAGTATGTAAGTGACCACGTTGTTTTGAAATTAAGATAAAGGCCTGTAAACATACGAACAATTTTATTTTTGAAAAATTGTACTTCTGGTCAATATAATTTTTCGAGAGCCGGGTTGTAAAAAGTGACAAAATATGATATTTTGCTTTAACAATGCGTTCTATAGCAATTTTTGAATAATATTCGGAACAATATTCTTAAAATACAGTATTGTAACACATAACAAAACTTATTAACTTGTTGAACTTGAACTTGTTACGCATATCACCTGGAAATAAAGCTCTGTGATTGGACATACATGCACGATAAATCAATGAACTTGTTCATAAACTTGATTATATGTTATTGAGTAATCTTACAATGAGAATAAGCAATTGGAATGAGGCACAGACTCACAAATGTTTGAACTAGCTGAAAATTGCTGAAATTATTTTGTTTTGAGCATATATTCCCTATTAACATTATATATCCCTGGCCAGAATCAGGGTTCGAAATTAAATTATAAACTTAGCGGTCCATGCTAACCACTCAGTAATGTTATTGGTAGTCAAAATATCAAAATGGTAACATGTTTATTTTTGATATTATTCAGTATTAGAAATTAATATCCGTCCGCACGTCCAAGAGTAATTGCCAATTAATTATATTGTCTGCTGGTAATCGGTTGATATTATCACTTTTCTGTCGTATTCCAGCTGAGCTAGGCCTTATGTCACCAACGCATCGAGCCAAAATATGGCGTATCGTTCCCCAACGTGTCTATTTCCAGTGTACGTGGGTCGGTGGCTCGTGTATTATTTTTCGGCGTTGGCTGACTGACCCAGGACTCGACTCCTATCCTCGGGGGCGGAGCTACGTCACAAGACGTTCCACGTTGCTACGACGCGCACCACTGTACATGCATTTCTATGGGCTCTGTGCGCTGCTGTGGAACGCTGGTCGAGCCGGTGAAAATTCGAGAAAACAACACAAACTCAACTTTGAAGTAATCCTGAACAACCAAATTTATATATGTTACACAAGTAGGGCTAATCTTGTTACACTGTTCAGAGGAGTCTCAACAATCATCCCAAAGTACCGTTTTCTGCGAGTTTTGGGCATTTATTTTCACCGCCGAGGGTTGCCAGGCGGTGAAAATGCCCGGATGTCCGCCCCCCCCCCGAGGATACATGTCACCACACGTACACCAGAGGGCGCTAATAAACCGAAACTTGAAAATTCATAAAATTCAAAATGGCGACTTGTAGTTTATTGTATTGCTCGCGGAGCTCGTGATTCAGACTTCGTTGAGTCGAAAGAAATGAGTTGTTTCATCGAAGGTGATGAGCGAGAGACTCTCCAGTAGCCGACCAAGGCGACCAAGAAGGGATAGAGCATCAAAAGAACCAACTGAAGCAAAAATCGAGGGCAAAAGGGATAAAACGTCAACGGGCAGTGTAGTTTTCCAGCCGTCGCAACAGCATGGTCGTCCCCGTCGAGTTAGACGGGAAAGAGAAAGAAAACCAAGTCTACCAGGTGACAAGCACAATTCCCCGAGAGATGCTACGACAGACAAAAAAGAACATAGACGCGGAAGCAACGATAAATCTGACCATTCTTCGACAGCGGAACTTTTGCTCGGAAAAAGCTTGATTCAATATGGTAGCAGGGGATTTTCCCGTGATGTCAACACAACAAGAGACATGAGACAAAATCATGGTAATTTTCTGATATTTCTAACACCTCTTGTCATTTTGCAGCAGCTGTTCTCATTTTCGCTAACCGAATTTGTTATTGTGTTGTCCAGAGCATAGCTAAATTCTATGTCAGAGTTTACTAAGAATCACTGGCTGTCTGCCAGTCTAGTCAGTGGGTTTATCATTTTAAAGTTGTACAAATTTGTTTTTTTACTTCAAATTTCCGATTTGTTTGTGGATCTATATCTATGCGCCGTGACCCAGTAGATAAGAACGCGGCTTGTTTTAGTCTCGGATCACTGAAAAGTGGTCTAACTTCCATTGCATTGAATTATTGTTTACCAACCGCAAAACTATGCGCTCATCCAGTAACGTAAGTTGGGTATAGGTCAAAGTTCGACGAAGGCTTCTACTTCTGTAATCGTTTGGAGTGTCTAATTTGGGGTACAGTTTTTGCTGACCCTTGCTCTTAGCATGGAACTATAAACCCCAGGAAGAACAACAAAACTAAGAGGATTAAAAAAACCTTTGTCTTAGTTTATCTTACAGTGCTTTCGCTTTTGTTTCCACAACATTAGTCATACTCCATGTTAGTTGCTGCCGATACGCCCGCATCAACCGCTTTGCTGGAAACGGAAAACTTGAAAAAAAAATTTCATATCTGCGCAGTAAAATATTTCGTTCACTACACATGCGCAAACAAGTCGGTCTGCAGGGTGACCTTCAGTGTACCGGAAATCATGCAACGGGGCGGCGTTTTAGCGAGTTTTCATAATTTTCAATGTCGTTTTTAGATTACTTCTTGTTTTTTTTCAACCCTTGAAAAAGGTTGCGCAAGTTTATGAAACATGAGGTTTGGTATGTTGTTTGTTGTCGAGATATCCCGACTTATTCCATGTTTCCCTTCGATCGCCAGAAGTGGCAATGTGTTTTTTTTCCCCGTTGAATGTCGCTCATTTATCAGTGTTTTTGTCTTGGCGCCATTGTTTTTTTTATGCTATAACCGAAACAACTTGATCACGTGATCTCCCGAAGTCGCACGATTGACTCCGAAAATGACCGATAGTCGGAGATAAACGTTCATTTGCGTAAATCGGCTTATTTTTTAATGCCACGAAATAAACAGTCAAAATAAACATTCGACATAGCGGCAACTATCATAGTTCAAAGGAAACAAAGTGGTTGTTCTTCCTTGGGTTTATAGTTTCATGCTCTTAGTGACCTCTGCTGTGGCCTACATGTACTAAGAATACATACACAACTGCTCTATATAATGAGCATTTAAGCAGTGTTCTCCCCAGGCTCAGAGGCAAGCATGGCGGTCTAATTTGCATGCTAATTTGCATACTAATTTGCATATTTTTCAGGATTCACTTGCACAAAAACAAACATACAAGACAGTATTAAAATGTATGAGAGACTTTATTTAAATTACATAATACATTACATAATATACCATAATTTGACAAGATCGTCATTTAATGTGAACTGTTCCATAAAACTTAGTCTAAACTACTCCTTCTGACTTTGTTGTGCTCCAAACATTGGCTGCCTTACTGTAGTTAAACTCGTCATAGACGTGCACGGGACTTTGTTCCATAAAGAAGATCCACTCTTTGCAATCATGTTGTGCTTTGAGCATTAACTGCACAACATTCCTAGTGGGAAAAAATGAAAAATAATAAAAAAAACAACAATGAGGA